ACGTACTTACATCCATCTTTAAGATAGATGCTTTACACTTTTTGAATCACATATATAGTCATGAGGTCTAACCTGTGAAATAATTTTTCAAAAAAAAAAGTAGTACAGTTCTATACAATTTTAAAATAAAAAGAAAAAAACATGGTACAGTTCTACTTTAATTATGGAACTGGTCACTGAAATATTACATCTTGTGTCTGATTCAATAACAAATATTAATAGAGACCGGCAGATAAAAACAATCAAATATTTTCCCCAGAGCAAAGTGAGAATTTTTTGTTGCCGTGGATGCCATTGACACCTCGCCTTCGGAGGAGTGGTTGACAGCTGAAAGGATAAGAAGGAGAAAAGGATGGAGGGGATATGCTTTGAAATCTTGACAATAATGGAAATTCTAAAGCTATACCCTTGAGGCTTCGCTCATTGGATTCAGATTTTCAAGGGCCAATTTTTTTTTGGAAAAGCTGGGCCAATCGTGTTGGGTTCGTTTAGAATTTTGACCTTTTCATTGCAATTGAGATTTTCTTGGGATTCTTGAGGAAATCTCAATTCTGCCAAAATAGGTGGAATTGACATTTCATGTAAATGATCCACTTTGCTATTGAAGAACAAAAAAAATATTAACATTTTAAAGAGAGAAACTATATCAAATTTTAAAGAAAAAAAACATATTAAAATTTTAGAGAAGGAAACTATATCAAATTTTAGAAACAGAAAGTATATGAATTTTTTTAGAGAGAGAAAATATACAAATTATTTTAGTGTGAGAAAATATCTCAAATTGTTAGAGAGACACACTAACTCAAATATTAAATTTTATAGAGAGAAAGTATATTAAAATTTTAGAGAGAAACTACATTAATTTTTTGAGACAGGAACTATTTAAAATTTTTTTAGAGAGAAATATCTTAAAACAATGAGAGAGAGAGAGCATACTAAAATTTTAGAGATTAGAAACTATATCAAATTTTAGATAGAAAAACTATTAGAAAATTTTTAGAGAGAGAAACTATCAGCAAATTTTAAGTTTTAGAGAGAGAAAATATCTTAAAACTTTAGAGAGAGAAGCTATATCAAATTTTAGATAGAGAAAGTACTTGAAATATTTAGAGAGAGAAACCATTTTAAAAATTAGATGGAAAAGCTACCTCAAATTTTAAGTTTTGGACAGAGAAAGTATACTAAAATTTAAAGAGAGAAACTACTTGACAATTTTAGAGAGATAAACTCTCTCAAATTTTATGTTTTAGAGAAAGAAAATATCTTAAAAATTTAGAGAGATAAACTATACCAAATTTTAGATAGAGAAAGTATAAAAAAATTTTAGAGAGAGAAACTATTTGAAAAAATTTAGATCGAAAAACTATATCAAATTTTAAGTTTTAGAAAGAGAAAGTATATTAAAATTACAGAGAGAGAAACTATCTGAAAATTTAAGAGAGAGAAACTATCTCAAAATTTGAGTTTTGAGAGAGAAAGTATCTTAAAATTTTAGAAAGAGTAACTATATCAAATTTTAAAATGAGAAAGTACCTAAAATTTTTTAGAGAGAGAAACTATCTTAAAATTTTTAGAAAAAAACTATCTCAAATTTTAAGTTTTAGATAAAGAAAGAAAGTATATCATATTTTAGAGAGAGAGAAACTACTTGAAGTTATTCAGAAAGAGAAACCATCTGAAATTGTTTAGAGAGAAAAACCATCTCAAAATTTTTATAGAGAGAAATCATCTCAAATAACTACTTGAAATTATTTAGAAAGAGAAACCATCTGAAATTGTTGAGAGAAAAACCATCTGAAAATTTTTATAGAGAGAAAATCATCTCAAATTTTAAGTTTTTGAGAGAAAAGGTATCACAAAATTTAGAGTGAGAAACTATATCAAATTTTAGAGAGAGAAAGTATATAAAATTTTTAGAGAAAAAAACTAGCTCAAAATTTTTAGAGGAAGAAACTTTTTCAAATTTCAAGTTTTTGAAAGAGAGTGTATTAAAATTAAGAGAAAAATTTTAGAGAGAGAGAGAAAGAGAGAGAGAGAGATAGAGAGAGAGAGAGAGAGAGAGAGAGAGAGAGAGAGTATAGTACTACTTAAACAAAAACAAGTATATACTAAGAATAACTAACCAAACAAAGTAAATTTACGTTTACCTTTTTTTACTTTTACGTTACCGGTAGTGT